AGGCGGCCGGTGAGCGTCTTGTCGTAAATTGAAAAGGGGTACCGTCCGTGACTGACGTACAGGTAGTTTCGTCTCCCCAGGAATAGCCAAGAAGTATGACTTCGAGATCCCGGAGTACCAAGGCATTGACCAGATTGTCGAGGTTGGCACTGGAGGAGAGAAGCTATGATTTCTCGGATTCGACCTTAGGACGTCCTTCCGAACTAGCGATGTCGGATTGTTGAAGTCGTCCTCCCGCTGGATCAACTGACACAGCAACCGCCCGTGCGACTGTAAGGACAAACTGGGCTCGGGCATCTTCCCTCTTGCATGTCTTCGTTCACCTCAGCTATCCCTCTGGGGCACCGTAACAGCGGAGGATGATAATGTTTGCAGAACTCGACATAGATGAGATATTGCTTCCCACAGACAGGGCATTCGGCCGTGTGCTCAGTGCACATTAAAGTTACAGGTTGGGTCTTTGCCGTGGAATGCAAAGAACACCGTACTATGGGATGGTCCCTAAAAGGACAAAAGTCTCGACGACAGCTGATATTTTGGCATACCATCTAGACGTGGCTTGTTATGTGTTGGTGTGGCTTCGAGTATAAAATAGGCGAGAGACGCTCAGAAGGGTATTGTAACACAGCTGCTGGAATCTCGCCACCACCGACCCAAAAGGTACATTTGACTACTGTACTGCTGATGAAATGAAACCCCTGTGGCGAGTGCAGGGCAGGGCATGGAGATACGTAACAGCCAACCCCCAGGAAATGTACAAGAAGGGAAAATCTCATTTCCCGTTTGCTCTCTATTAGCAATTCACATTGAGTACCTACCGCTTTCATTTTTTATGTGCTGTCTAATCGAGCATACAGCTGGATGGGGGTAGATTTGCTATGGCTCTATGGTGAGCCGGAGCAAAAGCTCCTTGTTGCATGTGATAGGCCCGTAACGGGTCCGCAGCGCTTACCGTGTTAGTGGTCCCAGCCAGAGGGCACCCTTTTTTTTTCTTTTCTTTTCTTTCTCCGTCCTCCCTACCTCGACCGTTTAATTCAGATGATTCTGTAACATTCTAGATTCAATTCCACCGATCTGTTCTTCTACATGAGTGAGTTAGAATCAAAGCAAACTCCCGACAAACATCCAAGCCTAGTACTTTCTAGACGAGTCTCGCTAGCTCCGTCTTTTCCACCCCGTTTCCAGTACCGCATTGTCCTTAGCGGGAGCACGACTTCTCGGAGCCTAGGTAGGTTACCAAGGTCTCGAAATCCATGACGCAAATATGTACAGCCTTACAGGCCCTTCGCGGTTGCTTAGGGGGATCTTTACACCCGGAGCTGTGCCCCAGCCCCTTTCTATTACATCTAGGCAGGCATAGAGCTAATAATACCTGTCCTCCTGCATCTACTTGCATGTGAGACATTCTATCCATTCTATCTGGTCACCAGTACCGGTACCGTGGCATCTACGATGCAAATGATTTCGCCGCATTGTCGATATCTGAGATATTCTCTTCCGAAGCGTCCTCGCGCGGGAAATATTATGCTAGGTACGTATGCTATAGGTAACGTATGAAGCAAATAGAATACTGCTGTAGGTCTCTCGAGTAAGAAACAAATCCCCCACTTCGCGTCTATGGCCCCCTGAGCCCTGGGCCCTGGGCTCTGGGCCCTGGGCCTTTCGGGACGTTCCCACTCACATCTCCACGATCCGCATTAACTTAAAGACATGCATGTTCCTAATACGTACTTACATATATGTATAATGTGCGGAATTTCTGTTACCCACACTGGACGCCCTAGTACGGGTTATTTCTTCGTTACATGTACGGTATCCATGATCTCTGCCTGAAACAGGGCGAGTCAGTATAATAAGTGCCTAACGAGCCCACCGTGTGTACCCGTAGGACTTTGCTTTTCCACCGTCCGCCTGCACCAAGCGGCCCGGCTGCGTTATATCGTGTAGTGGCTCGAAATCCGTCAGTCACAATGCCAAGCCAGGAGCATTTCACCCGAACATAACAGCACTACCATTATATCGCAACGCTATGCAACGTCCAAACTGCAACTTCCAGACCGCAACTTTCCTCTTTCACAAACATTGACAGGCACGGCCGGAAACAAGACGCTTACTCACTCTCGTGCACATGGTAAGCCTTCCTCGAGTCGCTAGCATCGAGCTCATTATGAAATCCTGCGGCTTATCTACCCCCGACCTTATCACCATGTACCTAGCTCTAGATCATATCATCGAGATGCGTCTCCGTTACAATGCTACTTTGAAGGTATGCGTTGTCACTTCCGTCTCCTGACTAACGTTGGCTAGATATTCCGTCATTCTATCTCGTAGCGACGTTCCCCGCCTCGAAGAGCTCGGCTAAGAGTTATCTCACAACAAAATCTCACCTGGCCAGCTGTCCTCCAGCTGGCTTCTCTTAATCATAGGCCTCGTGTCTGTTAGTGCTATGGATGTAGCTACTACAAGGGGTTCCACATGCTTAATGGTTCTAGTATCCGGGTCAAGCTCCGAGGGATAGTATTGGTAACGGGCCACATGCGATCTGGGATCCTTGAATTCTTAAGCTTAGGTAGAATGCGGCTAAGTCGTAGGTCTACGAACCTTGGACGAATAGAGCTTACAATTAGTGCACATTGAGATTTAGACTTATCTAGGTTAGTTCCCGGATTGTCAGGGAGAGAGGGCCGATTATTTTCCATCCCTAGTTGACAATGGATCCGGGCCCGGCGGGACCTTAGCTAGATCCATTCGCCACAACGGATTTAAATTCGGACGTCACATCTCATAATAGTTGGTCGCAAATCGCTTGTAGGTGCACTTTGATATTGGAGGGTTCCACATTGTCGGACAGCCAGGTAGCCAGAACAGTGGCGGCAGCGAAGAGAGGGAGACGTCACATACTCATGTGGTTTCGTCAGTGACACGACGATAATAGAAACAATATCAAGCGGCGGTCGATCATTCATGGAACTACCCAAACAATTGGGCGGCCAGGCGAGCCACGAGCCACAAGCTGACATCCCCGGCCCCAAGGTTCGTGTCAAATCCGTCAGCGTTTCCGCTCGGGAACTCGCCTCGTCCGCTAGTCCCGCCAATCCGCCGCCGACGTTAGGGATGTTAGGGACGTTTCGGGAAGGTTCGCCACACTTCTTCGCAATATCACCCTGCAAGCGGTGGGGGCACGCCCATGATCTACCCTTGCATTAGTGCTAAGCCATGATGTGGCTGAAGCTATCCCCGTCCCCGTTAGCCGACCTCATTGGTCCGTCACCTCGGCTCAATTCCAACTTCAACTCCTCGCTTCGGAGCCCGGCCCTTTGCCACTTTCGCGAACGACGTCCTTGCTCGGTTAGAATGCCACGAAACATATCAAACTTTCCCACGGAGCGTCCTAGAAGATACCAGCAAGCGTTCGTCAGCGGGGGTCGATGCAGATACGAGATTTTTTTTTCTCGCCATCGAGCTACGTGTTGTTCTATTTCTGATCAGACGCATGTAGGTATGTACGTGACCTCGGGTCGTACCCCTTGTGGCCATTTTCTGTCACGATAGCCCCCCCGGACTCCGCAGCATTTGCGGCAATGAGCGTCGGCGATCCGTCGACACCGAAGGCGAGCCTCGTCCTGGCTTCGGTGTCTGCTTTAGACAAGCTACGTGTCTCGGCCGTGGATACGACCCCATTCGCCGTCAGCGGCTGCACTTAATTTTGACAGGTCACCATCGGCCTGGGATGCGAAGCAGGGCATGACCTTACTATACGCGTGTTTCATTCGCCCCTATCTCGAAATGAGGCCGCCCGTCGTGGCGTAAGCAGGCGTTTCGGTTGGAGGCTCCCCCACACGATCTACTGCCGACGTAAGAAAAGGCCCGGTTGGTGGACGCCCTAAGATGAGAACCTAGTCCGAACCAGCCGGATTGGTTTACGGAGTTAAGTGTTCAATCTACCGGTAATCAGGTCGCTTACCTGTCCTGGCTTGTATCGACGAGGCAACCCCCCTTGTGAAGATTACTGCAATCTGTCCAAGAACATGCCTTGTATCTACGAGGGAGTCACTCTGCATAGAGCCTGGGAGCGGCACTGTGATTAACCTCAATTCCTGACCGATGCTCCATAGGTTATGGTGAAGGAGGGATGACCGTTTAGGCTTGCCATGCGAGCGTCAAGCCATGTTGCCTCTACGGTAGGTAAGATACCCAGGTCAGGTAGGCATGTGACGGGCAATGGTCTTTTCTGAGTGCAACGTTTCCAAGTTATGGCGGCACTATGACAGTCATATTCAAAGCGGACGTACATAGAGCCTATGATGGCTATATATCAGCATGTAATGCTGTGGGATACAGGATCAGGTCTCGTCTCATAGTGGGGGGGAATAAGAATATCATTTAGTTACTACACAAAGGCTACGTTTACAAATGGAGACATTTCATTTCCATTATGCATGTCTGGGTAGCCGCTAAACCCTGGTCCATCAATTGTGCTGAGAAACACTCCTTGAAATAGACTTAGATCCATCGCTGAGTGACTTTGTCTTTTCTATGCGAGATACAAAATAGGCTCGTTTCTAGAAAGATGATAGATACCTTATAAGACAACCAGTTGATATCGACACGGGATTTCACAACTATTCATGGAATATATGGTAGTAGTTACAAACCTGCTGGAAATGAGTATACTGAAATCTCTTCATATCAATGGTTCAACAACGTCTGGCTGTGATGGTAGTATGTCACACGTTAACAAGATCTTGTTAGCAGATATAGGTCTGTCTACTCTACCTTCTAGCAGACAATCTTCTAGAAATAATGAATGATGTATGTCTGTGAGCAGTGGTGGGCTTCCCTGAAATTGGTCTTCGCATCAAGCATCCCTTCCCTAGACGCCGTCCGGGCTCCTTAAGAAGAAAAGGTTCCCACAATCCCTGTCTTTCTGGAAGCCCTCTACCGCAATTCAGAAACTGTATCCCAATGGTGGCCTACAAGCTAGATGAGAAAAAAGAATACTCCGAATCGGGGAATCGAACCCCGGGCTTGGCGGATCACTTAAGTTGATTACAAGGTAGGTAGTGAGAGCACCAAATGTTAGCCACTACACCAATTCGGATGACATGATCTGCTGGTAGCTTCTTCCTTTGCAACGATAGCTGCAAGTAAAAGAAGTTGAAATACCCTAGTTTTGATGACCTTGTGCAACTTTTAGAGGTCATAGGTAGATGTGTAAGTTGCTTACGACGGGACGATCACAGCCCACACTGTCCGGGGAAACTCATTATAAAAGTCAATTAATGAAACCGTTAACTAGGAAGTCGTCTTCTCATATTAGCTGAGCCTCCTACTCTGTTAAGTCACGATTGCTTACATTGAGTATCGTGTTTAGCGGTTTGTTCACGGTTGGACTCAATGCTAGAGGCCAATTAGGTAGAGATAATTTACTGTGTCATATGCCACGAGCTATCACGTGTCGCATTTTTGTGCCTCATTTTGTACGACACAGACATGTGCGTCATCGGCGCTCAGAAGCTCGCCCAATATGCAGGCTCCATATTTGGGGTACAAGAGCCCAACTCTCAGCTGACCAGAAACGTAGGAAAAACAACGTTTTTTGCAACACCGAGAGTCCGATCGTGACTGCCTTCCAGTAAGTGCGTGATAATATGACTTTGGGTTTGTATTATCTGTCTGACGAACGACGCCGGGCAATTAGGAATCTTCTCCGCCTTGGCTTTTACCGTCAGCAGCAACATGGACCACCAGACACAGAACGTTCTCCCCTTTTCTCAAGACATCCATCCCACACCTACAGTCGCAGATACCTATAAAATACTCCATATCTTGAAGCGCAAAAATTTACCGACCGAGCTCGCACTGCAAATTATCTCGCTGGGCTATAGCCCGTGGGTCGCGAAGCGTAGAGTCTACCAAAATACATACCATGTACCCGGAGGTCTGATGCCCTCGGATGAGTCCAATATTACGGGCTTATATCTCAGCACTGGACGCACTCCTGGGAACGGAATTAGAGTCGTCCCGCACCGCATCATCTTCCAGACCAACGCAGCAGATCAAGGATGGGCTGATGCTGGCGGACACGGTACTTATGAGAACAGCCACACATGGTTCGAGGCCAGCATCCTACGTCCTTTCCCCATAGGGATAGAAGAAAACAGACAGTATGTGGCGCTTGAAGATATCTTACCTAATCAGTGGCTGGATGCTGTCACAAGAGGTGAGGGCCCATACCACGGTCCGATGTGATGACTGTGTAGCTCATATCCACTGATAGATGCTAATCCTCTGAGGAACGATCTCAATAATAAGGGATGGGATCTTGTGGAAGCCGAAGATGGGCGTGTGACATGGAGAGTGTGCAATAACCTTACGGCATCGAAGCCGTATCGAGATTATAAGGTGGAATGGAGGAGAGGAGTTCAGACAGAGGTTGAGGATGAGAGGGCCGAAGGAACAGGCGACGGCTTTCTGGAGCTATTGGAACCGGGATTCATTGTCGTGCTTTGGGCTCGGGCGCAGGTACGTGCATTGTCGCCATGCGATATCGTAGCATTGTTGCTGAGCTTATTCGCTAATCTGAATGATAGCAATGGAATTGGCGTAACAGAGTTCAAGCTGCGACCATTGAGATTGAGTATAAGCTATGAAACGGCAGTGGGTATTTCCAGGGTTTTCCAATCTCCAAATTCATTGTCACGAGCCCAGCCAAGCGATGAGGAAATAACGATGTTGCACGAAGAGCTATGAACCTAACAGCTACCAGGCTCCGGGTATATACCTGGAGCAAGGACAAAGAGGCCATCTCTGACATCTCCCTCTCTAGCTCGTCACAGTCCTACCTAGGTGTCAGGGGCCAAGGGCCTGACGTTCATCATAAACGCGAGGCTGTCGTCAAGGTGGTTTATGGCTCCTGTCTGGAATATAGATTGATCCATAAGGCAAGAGCCACAAGGGAAGCCTATACACAAATCACACATGTCTTAATATTAATGTTGTATATTCTCAAATCTATCAAATTTGAAGATTGCAGATTCCAGAAGCCTACTAGAATGCATACGAATGAATCACCTTGGAATACCGCTCTGTTAAGTCTGTAAGATGCATTGGACACGATCATACAGTGTGGTAAGCTCTGTATAGGTACGGACAACTAATATGGACCAGTTGCACTGCTGTCGCCTCATGAGGGGAAACTTCTGGCTGCGAATATGATAGGCGGATATACATACATATAGTATTCCCCCGCCGCTAGAATCATACGTCAAATTTTATTGTTCACTATACTCACTGCTTTATCATTCCTCGAGTTTCTACATGGTGTCCTGAGTAACATATTTCTACGAGTTGTCATGGAGCTTCCATTGAGAAAGGACTTGAAGCCAAAACCAGGCGAGCCAGAAGATTCAGCATGGATTTGGGGTAGCGACGACGAGGTATGGTGCTTATGTTATGCATTTATTCCTCCGATACTGACCACTTCCGAAGTTGGGCAGGCTGAATCTCCAGACACCCGAAAGGGTTAAGAAAGCGCTCGAAGCAGTGTCTTCAGGAGAGACTATCGCCCTCAGGTCGATCCACCGCTAAGACTATATCCTAATAAGTCGAGCTTCCTTACTAACTTGAGTGTTAGTCTCCCATTTGATCGACCAGTGCCACCGTGTTATGAGCGACGTGCCTTCAAGCTCCATATCACTCCGAAGGGTACGTCACACACATATGACGACATTTACGAGATAAACCCCCAAAGCACTTCTCAATGGGACGGATTCCGCCATGTGAGTTAAGACCGAATTCAAAGACTCGTCTTCGTAGTATGATTAATTAAGCATAGTTTGCTCATGTCTCATCTGGGTATTTCTATAATGGAGTAAGTTCACCGACTGGACTCCTGGTTGCATGAGATGGATGACCTAACTATATATGGACTACACCCAACGATATCTCAAGCCCGAGCACGTCCACTAAGTGTGGCATACAAGCATGGGCTGCTCGTGGTATCGCAGGCAGAGGCCTCCTCTTAGACTACGGTCGATACGCCGAGGCGAATAACATCAAGCCGGTGTTTTACGATAACTACAAGATTAGCTATGCCGACCTTGTAGGTGTAGCGCGAATGCAAGGAATCGACCTGAAGCCCGAGGCGCAAGGGGGGGACGTCCGGATTGGCGATATACTCCTGATTAGGTCTGGTTTCCTGAAGAATGCCAACTCGCTTACGGATGAGCAAAGAGCAGCTCATCACCTCCAACCGCATCAGTTCGGGCCTCACGATGGACAGCGCTACATGGGCGTGGAGCAGAGCGAAGAAATGCTTGACTTTTTGCACGATTCGTACTTCTCAGCCGTAGCTGGGGACCATCCCGCGTTCGAGGCGTGGCCATCCGATAAGGGTACGCCTAAGCTATTATATGCTTAATACTTAGTAGAAGAATAATACTGATATGTTCTCTCTATGATCACAGACTACTACCTTCACGAAAAGTTGTTGGCGCTTTGGGGCTGTCCTATTGGCGAACTGTGGGATCTCGAAAAGCTCGCGGAGAGGTGTGCCGAGAGGAAACAATGGTCATTCTTTCTCGCGAGTACCCCGAACCATGTGAAAGGTACCCGAATCTGGTCTTCCGTGAAGGTCTTTTGTCTAACGTAATTCTTTAGGAGGAATATCCAGTACGGCGAACGCCCTCGCTATCGTATAAGATCGAGCTATTGAATCAACGCAAGGGACATTTGGATTGGTACTAGTTTACACCTTTCTCCCGGTGAGTATCGAATGAGATATGCATGTTTTGTAGTTTGCAATTGAAGAGACATGGAACGTTAGGTACATAAGAGAATGAAAAAGCAAGCATCATTATAATATCCTTGAAAATGTCTGCGAATTTGGAGGTGATAATTATGGGCTAAAAAGGTCAAGGTTCATATCATCACGTGACTGCGGATCTTATCGAGTTGGCCAAGCTCGGCGCTTGGACCAATCAATCGGAGGTTGCAAGGCAGCATGAGCTTTCGTTGCCTCGCATCAACCGTCAACCACCAAGTCCAGCTTTCACCCTTCCATCACCATAATACCCGGCCGTCCACCACACACCAAACAGACTCTGCCAAAACCTCCACTTGCGATTCCAACCTGGTCCGACTACACCGCCGTTATTATTGCATCCTATATTCCTAATTAGTTCCGGAAACCATGGCCGACGCAGCTCTGAAGCCCGAGAAGGACTTCAGCAAGGAAGCTGACGTGCAAATCGGCGAGGCAGAGAAGCTTGCCAAGGTGCGCCCACATTGATAGATCACTTTGCATGATTTTATGACTAAGAAGGCTTTTACAGAACGACCTCCAAGCGGCTATTGAGAAGCTTACCATACTCGAGAAACAAGCCCGACAGGTAAGCTTTCCTTGCATCCTCAGCTTGTTTGGTACTCATTAATAATCATGTTCCGTAGGCATCCGACCTTGCGTCCACCTCTCGAACCTTGATCGCGATATGCACGATCTGCAAAGATGCCGGAAACTGGAGCTTGCTCAATGACCAGGTCTTGGTCCTCTCCAAGAAGCATGGCCAGCTCAAACAAGCCATCACCAAGATGGTCCAAACCGTCATGACTTTCCTCGACAAGACGCCGGACCTAGACACGAAGCTTTCCATCATTGAGACCCTGCGCACAGTGACCGAAGGCAAGATATTCGTCGAGGTTGAGCGAGCCCGCGTGACCAAGATTCTGTCGGATATCAAGAAACAGCAAGGCGACCTGAAGTCGGCGATGGATATTCTGTGCGAATTGCAGGTAGAGACGTTCGGTTCGATGGAGAGACGTGAGAAGACAGAGTTCATACTTGCCCAAGTCGCCCTATGTATCGAGAACGGCGACTACACACAAGCTGGTATCCTTAGTCGTAAGATCAGCACCAGATATTTGGCGCGAAAGCCCAAGAAGACGCCGGAACAGCTGGAGAAGGAGAAGAAGGTTCGGGAAGAGAAATTGAAGCGTGGAGAGGAGGTTCCCCCGGAGCAGGAGGACGATACTACCGACTTGAAGCTGGCATACTACGAGCAGCAGATCACACTGGCGAAGCACGACGGTAAATACCTCGAT